TAGTGGATATGTACCTGTTGGACATTAGTATATTTTAACTGACATGGATATTAACAAAAAGATTAGAAAATATTTCATTTACATTTCTTGAGACAACACCAATCTTTTATCTTTTTTTTTTTCAATGCTTTGTAACATAATTATGCAATATGATTATTTTTATGAGTTGCATTGTAACATAATTATGCAATATGATTATTTTTATGAGTTCATTATAAAATGCTAAAATATTTCAGTTTTCTTTTTGTACTACTTGTAATGAAATTTATTTGCACATACAGAATTTACATTGCCTACTTATATTTATCATCTGCCTTTTGTTATTTACCCTAAGGGGCTCTCTTATCAGCAGGGTACGTACTATAATAAAATACCAATACACAGCATGACTTTTGACACTTTAATCTTCTGTAACTGTCTTCTGCTCATGTATGATATTTTATTAAAAAAAAAAAACAGATAGGAGGTTGCAAGGTTTTATAATCATGTATTTAAATATTTTCTTTAAAATATATTATCTTCTAAATGTGTTAAAACTGACAAGGCAAATTTGTCAAATCTATAATAGAAAAAATTAACATTTCCAAGTTCAGAAACTAAAAGATGCTGAAAATTTTAATGCAGAATTGCAAAAAATGTGGATAAATATTGATATGAGGTCTTTCTAGAATAGTTAACACTGATATTGATATTAAACCAGTTTTTTATGATAAGATTAGAAAATTCCACTTCAAAGACAGTATTGACAATGATATCTAACATGCGTTTATGCCATTGTGATTATTTTTTTAAATTTGATTATACAAACATTATAGTCATTTATCTATGTCTTACCTTTATTTTTGAAAAAAAAAACAGGAAATTTTAAATAAATATTGCATACATCTGCATTTTTGTTATTTACCCTGAGGCCCTCTTATATATCAGCAGGAGACCAGTGTAATGAAAATAGTCACTCTCTCAGAAAAATACCAATACACAGCATGACTTGAGACTTTCCTCTTGTATTAAAGCATTCCCATTATACATTAAATCTTTAATATAGAAATCTTGAATAAAGTTATCAATTTTATTTATTTCATGGAATTTTTTTAATTATTTATATCTTTAAAAAGAATGCAAGCATTTCATGGTTGAAAAACATAATATCACAGTGTATGGATTGTTTTAAAATTAATGAATTAATATTCTCTTTCAATCTTGAACATCAGGAATGTCCTCTTAAGTTATTTATTATTATTCAGAATGGGAAGAAATGTGGATAAATGAATAAATATAGAAAATTCCGCTTTAGAGACAATAATATATCTAATACGCATTCTGCCATTTTGATTTTTTTTTGTATATTTGACCATACAAAAATTATGGTCATTTATCTATATGACTAACTTAAGCTTGGGATCCAACGCCTGATGAATCCCAGGCTAATGACTAATATGCATTTTGAGAAAACAAGGGAATTTCAATGCATACTTATAATCTGCAAAATTGACTGTTCTTTGTTATTACCCGAGGCTCTCCTATCAGCAGGAGAGTGGTATTATAATGAAAACAGTCCCTCAATACACAGCATGACTAGAGATTTTCCTCTTCAATAAAAGTATTCCCTTATTATTATACATTGAATTTTTAATATAGAAATCTTGAATAAAGTTATCAAATTTGTTTATTTTATGGATAATATTTTAATTATTTATATCTTAAAAACATATGCAAGCATTACACAGTTGAATACTAAATTATCACAGTATATCGATTTTTTTTTTAAATATTCTCTTTCAATATTCAACATGAGGAATTATCTCTAAGTTATATATTATAGAAATAATATTTTAGCTTAAATATAAACCTTTCCTTGATTTGTTTGAGCTTATGAAAAACTAGATTAATGACAAACTAGATTAATTCGGCCAAAATTATCAGATTTTCCAATTTGTACACTAGAAAAGTTGAAATGCATGGCCATTTAAAAACACTTATTTAAATATCCATTATGGAGCATATTTATTATTTACAAATAACCTTATTAATTCTATAAATTTGATTTTAAGGGGTATTATTTTACACTTACAGTTAAATACGGGTTAAGAAAAATATGATTACAATAAATATATTTGTTTTTAATTTAAGCTTTCACATGATATCACTTAAAATGTTAAAACTGCTTATTTTAAAATTTACTTATTAATATTCATGAATAGGCCACAATTATATTCCCAAATTTTGTTTTTCTTACAGCAGCTTAACAATAGATCCCCCCTTGTCACTTGATATGCAATTATCCAATAAACCATTTAGGTGTCACCTTCCCTGGTCAGCCTGGTCATATGGTCTAGTGCACTAGTAGTGCACACGGTGTGCACTTCTAGTTCAGCTCTAGTGCACTAGAAGTGCACAAGGGTGGGAAGTTTAGTGTGAACTCAACTGTATAGGCGCGTCATAGAAAAATGACTCTGATTTCACTTTAAACGGTCTTTATTTTTAGTATGTATTAAATAGAATATTATATTAAATTTGTGTATGTTCATTACTGAATTTATTGCACTCATTGAATAAAGTAAATATTATGCTCACCAGAGGTCGCATAATATAATTTTATTCAACTTGTGCAATAAATTCAGCGTTGAACTTACACTCATTCAATATCCTCTTTTTAATATATATTAAGCGCACGTCAATAAATTTCAATTTTAAGTGATATGAAAAGTATTTTTTGTTGCGCTGTCTTTGTATACTGTATCCAATAACTTTACATCACAACCGGTTTCCTTATTTTCCTCATTTTTTTACTCTTTTACTTTTTTTACTGTTTCAGACCTAAAATAAAATTGCGTTCTTAATATTTATATATACTCATATATTGTAATGCCCTAGAAATTTTACCTTTTTATGTGATTTCACTGGATTTCAGCTGTTCAGTAGACTGTTTATTTCTACTTTCACTTTCGTTTTGAGAAGATTTTACTGGCGACAAGACAAGATAAATCATGCGATGTCCTAATGAAACATACAGGACATCAACTTAAATCTACGTATTGTGCCAGCAATTTAATCATTCCTGATTCTGGAAGCTTTTCCCTTAATGTTATCCATTTCCCTTTATGTTATCCGTGGTAGAATCCTGTGTTTTTAATCTGTTTTCGTGACTTCTGTCAAAATAGTTTATTCCTTTATTTTACACTCAAGATTATATAGTTCGATTTTTTATGATGCAGCCTCACTTAAAATATAGATATGCCTCATAAATCCATCTGAATTTAATTGTTAGCACTGTAAATTTATAAAAATTTGCAATGCATAATTCAATGTCGGCCATGTTGGACTATTACGTAGAGATTACGTAGTGAATGCAAGGGATAGTTCTTTATTTGATTGCGCATAAAAAGGAACACGTTATCCTAACTATTTTACTTTCGATATTAGCGCACGATAGCTTATAAATATTTCTAAAAATCATTTGTTGAGGCTGTGACAAAAATTAATTTCGGTGCTAGGTTGAGTGCATTTCAGTTCTTACATAAACTCGTTTAAAATACATTTCTAGCTACCATATACAGTACAGTATAGATCTAGATCTATATGATAATCAAAATTTATCGCTATAAACGATCTACATGTAGCTAAAGTTGTAAAAACCTAAAATGATTACGATGTTTTAATAAAGGTTTAGAAACGTTTTCATTTTGCGTGCGTTTTAGCGTGCGTATATCGTTTAGCGTATTTCGTTTAGCGTATATCGTTTTGCGTGCGTCTGCGTATTTCGTTTCGTTTTGCGTGCGTATAACGTGCGTTCGTATAGCGTGTAACGTGCGTTCGTATAGCGTGTAACGTGCGTTTTGCGTGTAAACTGACACGTTCACCCTACTGTAATTTTCCATTCAGTTTTTAGTCATTTTCAGTGTGTATTTAAAATCTAAATCGCATTCCTGGATACAACAAGATATTCAATTGTAGATGTACAAGATTTTAGAGCCCTGAAATGATAGTTTTTTTATAAAGCTATTCAAAAGCTATTCATGGAAATACAAAATGTAGTCTATTTTTCTAACGTGTATCAAATAGTTCAAATTAAACGTTTTAAACACTGTCTACCAAAGATATTTTGTGTGCAACAGAGTGTGTAACGTTTCATCTAATATCATTAAATGTCATTAAAGTGAGGTGTCGTGATGTGTTCGATATACATGGCCAAGTTCATTACTTCCGGGCTCGATGATAAAAAAGATCTCCTATGGATCGTGAGATTATCAAGGGAGACTACTGATATATTATTGTGTTTACATTTTCTTTGATTACGTCCCTTGAAATAGAATTTTATGCTAATATAAAATCTTTAAATAAACTCTGTTATTAACTGAAATACTTGCCAGATGAATACATATTTCTGTAAGTCTAAGATTATTATTTTCAAAACCATAAACGTGTGTCTGTGTATCAATGATATTTATGCTAATGGTTATTGATCCTTTTTCTTGAAAAAAAGAGAAAACGCTACAAACACATGTCAGTTTTTACGTTTAAATCTTGTGCGTGCAAAAAGATGTTTTACTCTCCGTCTGTCCCCACAATGCACAGAATGGGGTTGTGTATTGACCATTTGAATAGCGGGAAATGTGTCAAACTCGCAATGCACGGCCATTTAGCGGAAATTCCTCTGTGATTAGGGTTTGGGTGTGGTTAATTGCAGCTACATAAAGATTATTTCAGGTTTGAGTCCGTGCTTGAAAAAAACTATTGGAAGCAACTGAGATGCATTTTAATGCATTTTAACATAACCTTGATATTGTTTTGATTTAAAAAAATCATTTTGTGAAACTCGTACATATGAACTTTCAAAGATGTGTCACAAAGTAGGTAGCATTGTTTGTCATGGCATTAAACTGTTATTCATGAAAACTCGTGGACGTTGAATGTACAAGGGTAGTTATATTGTTTGAATTTTCAAGGTTCAAATAATAACAAACATCTGTGTTTTTCCAATTTTACTATAATATTTATAAAAAATGATTTTTTATTCCCCCAAACAATAATATTACAATATTTGTGTACATGAACTTTAGGTATAAGCATATTAATATTGTTAAGCATAGCTTGAGTAATCTTAATTGAAGGATAATTCCAGCGTTCCCTACAATTACGTGAATGTGTACAATTATATACAAATGAGCCTCGTCACGACAAAACCAACATAATGGGTTTGCGACCAGCATGGATCCGGACCAGCCTGCGCATCCGCGCAGTCTGATCAGGATCCATGCTGTTCGCTATCGGTTTCTCTACTTGTTATAGGGTTTGTAAGCGAACAGCATGGATCCTGATCAGACTGCGCGGATGCGCAGGCTGGTCTGGATCCATGCTGGTCGCAAACCCACTATGTTGGTTTTGTCGTGACGCGGCTCAAATGTGCACCTCATTGTGATGGTATGGTGACAGTCAGCTTTAGATACATGGTGAAGTTTTTCAGACATTACAACTATAAAGGGACTCTACTGAGGTTTTTTGGCATAATGGGGCTTAAAATATTTTTTCCAGATAAATGTACCATTTGATGTAGGTTTAGACCACTAATATTTGTGCAAAATTTAAGATCTTTCGAGCACTTCGTTTTTCCAGAATAATTATTCAAATTGTAATAAAAAGACCCAAAATAAAAAAGCGTTTAAACACTTTTCACTCAAATCGGGCTACGAAAAACATGAAAATACGATTTTCGATTTATTTCAAAGTATATTTCATTACTACTTTTGCATACATTTCTGTTTAAAGTGCCCCAGCTCATTTATGTAAGAAATTCAAATGTTATGTTTTTAGGCTTTTAAACCTCAGTGGAGTCCCTTTAACATTTTACGAGTATTCTATATACGGTAAATATAACTCTTTTTTCCCTCTTTTGTCTAACCAAGTGTCAACTATTTATATAATTTCATCAACTTCATCAACTTTTTCATTATCAGACTGTTATATTTAAGTTAGAATTCTTGTAGCAAAGTATGATACAAAAAGTACAGCAGAGGTAAAAACAACTTGTTTCGCCCCACACGCTTCTTCGGCCTCTATAATATGTGACGTCACGTTTAACCAAAACGTTTTCAGATTTCTTACAATTGTCGCACTGGAAAAAAAAAATTTTAAACAATAAAAAAAAGCTTGATTCAACAATAGAAGTAACAGACGCAACAGACAAGTGTTTCAGAAGTAATATCGATTGAGCGGGGGTTTTCAACAATTTTATACCGTTGTATTGATACGTGTGCTTGACGTTTTTTACTCCAAAACAACAAAAGAGTTTTAAATACCAATGTCTGCACAAGTGACAAACTACTTATCCCAAATCCTTACTCAATCAGCGGCTAGAGATAAATGGCCATAATATATATCTGACACCAATCATCACAATGATGAAAATATTTTTAATACATGTATCTCGAAAGCATTACATGCTCATTACGTCATGGTTACGTCACGGTAACGTTATATGAATGTTCATTGCATCACGGTAACGTTATAAACTCCAGCTTCATTTGGAATGCTTAGTATTTAATAGAGGATATTGAATGATTTTAGGTTTAATTCAACAAGTTCAATAAATTTAGTATTGAATCTACACGAATATAATATTCTATTTATCGCATATAGAAAACAAGATGTTAAACTGTTTAAGATAGTCATTTTTTATCGACGCGCCTATAGTGTAACACTTACATTGGCGCGATTTAACGCTGTAATTTGTGTTAGTTTAATACTGAATTTATTGAACTCGTTGAATAAAATTATATTACATGTAATATGCGAGCCTTTAGTGAGCATAATATTATTTTATTCAACGAGTTCAATAAATTTAGTTAAGAACTTACACGAACTTTAATATTCTAATAATCACATGCCAAAAATAAAGCCGGTTGAAGTGATAAAGAAACACTTTTCATTGCCGCGCCTTTAGTATAACGCTAACATTTAGCGCATCTTAACATTAAGTTTATAAAATATGTTGCAAATGACGTCACGCCAAAATATATGCAAAACCGTGCAATACTATTTTAATGGAGTCGCAAAATCGGCACGGGTATGTGATAAGTTTATATGTATAGCAAAAATGACGTCACGTCAAAGTGTTATTTCACTAAGTGTACTTCTCTGAAAACATTTTGAACTGGATTAGAAACAATTTATTGTAAAAGTGTCTTTCACTTTACCTATATTATGTAATAATGGCTATATGCAATAGGTAGTTTAATGCCAAATAAAATATTGAATTGAATTAAATTGTGAAACCATTACACTTCTGCGTCTGTTTTATGTGATAAAGAAAATTAATACATGAAGTAAAATTAGTACATGACGTCAAATAAAATTCTTAATAAAATGACGACTAGTGTCAGATTTAAAGTATGTACATGTACACATTACTTACCTTATATACACATTACCAACTGATCTTTTAGGTGCTGTCCAGTAAAATGTTCTGTTGTAGATATGCAAATGAGAATAGTGGCGTAGGGCGCTCTAAAATATATTAAATTTTCTTGCAAAATCAGTGCATATATTAAAAACAAAAACAAAAAAACTAACAAACAAAAACAACTGAACAATCATGCTGATTTTATATTCTGGTACTAATATCTGGAATTGTTTGAGGAAAAAGATTTTAATTAGTGTTTGTGCACGTATCTAAACTTTGTAAAGAAACGCCGCCATCTTGGATTTTCAAAGCAAACCATTTGTCGGTATCTTACGTAATATAAAACGATATTCATAATTATGAAAACGTTTTTTATAATGAAAAAAAAAGTATTCAGTCCTAAGTGTATTATTATGTTATTTATTATAAGACATCAATTTTATTGGCGACGAAATAATGTTAAAAATAGAATAGATTGAATGAATGATTCCTTAAATCATTGAATCATTAAAAAGCCCTTTACTTCTACTCGTGGTTTTTGTTGTAATGATGTTGTTTTTCGTTTGTCATATTTTCCCCGTCCATTATTACTATCCCTTTTTTATCGTGTTTTGCAATAATGTCTATCCCTTTATCTGTCTTCTACCATCCTAAAACGGCGGAACAAAGATGGTGTGTAACACCGCACTTTGGGGTCAAACGCACTTTGGGGTCCGACCCCAAAGTGCGTTACGTACTTTGGGGTCCGACCCCAGAGTGCGTTACGCACTTTGGGGTTCAATTTCGACCCCAAAGTGCGTTAAACAGGTACATATGCATTTTTTAACATCAGGCAAACGACCGCACTTTTGGGTCATAGAAAATTAATGTTCATCATGTTTTAAATAATATATTGTAGTCAAAGCCAATGGTAAACAAAAAATCAAGATATTAAATAGACACAAACATGTGCCCTGAATTATAGTAGAATCAATAGGGATTTAAAATGGTCTTGATTAGTAAGTGATAAACTTTCACCAAATAAATCACCAAATAAAGAATTTGTATCAATCATTAAGCTTAAAATATTTTTTTCTCAAATTTTCCATTTATTTTAAAAGAATGTACACCTTTCATTAATTTATTTACACATTTTATAGAAATATGATAGTCTTAGCATAGACAAAGGTATAAATTCTTGGAAATCTTAGTAAGACAATTCAGTAAAAAATGTGCCTAATAATATATTGAAAGAGCCATTTATTTAGCTAAATGTGACATATAAGAGATGCGGCTTTAAGTAGAAGTCAGTACAGGCAGTACTAAAGATATCAACTATTTAAGTAGTCGCACATTAAGAGCGGAAAAATGTAAAATTCTCACTATGGGTATAGCGGGAATTGTGGGGTATCTACCCCCCCCCCCGGTTTTAAAGGTCCATTATGCTTTTATTTGTTTTTCTTCAAAGCTTTTTTATTTTGATGTTCTTCTATATTATTAAAAAAAATACACATTGGCCAATTACCTGAACCATCTGTTGCTTTTTGGCAATGATGAATACAGTTATAGTGAATTAGTATTTTATAAGGAAGTCAAATACTACAGTGTTTTGACTACTTTTATGACAAATAATTTCACATTTATCGCTACATTATTCAGGTAACAAGCATCTTACATTTTCTGATACCATTATTGTAACATTATAAAATTCATGTTTGCTCTTTCTAAAGAAGTATATAAGATTTCCCATAAAAAAAGCCTCTGGCGAACGGTTGTTACGGAGCTCACAAAAACCCTTAAGTTTGTTGATAAGCTTAATAATGTATTTGTTAAAATCACTATTTATAGCCCTATCGAAAGTCTTGATGTTTCACCAGAACACATATTTAAAATGGGGCTCAATATGGCACCAAAAGTTATTAAGTAAATGACCGACAGAACGGGAAATTTTTCGCAGTATCTTTTAATTCTAGGAATACACAATTTCTGTTCTAGAGTATTTTGAACGGTGGCATAAAAGTGTCATTTGTATATATTGTGACATATGTTATTTTAGTTTTTTTGTACACATTTTATTTTTGTTTTTTCGTACATATTTTTACATGACGCCATTTGCAAAGTAGAGGTTTGGATAATTACACCATTTGTAAAACACCATTTTCAAACACTTCGCCGTCTGTAAATGACATGCCATTTGCCATTTGCAAATACCAACATTTTCATTTTTGGAGGTATCAAAAAAATAGTATATACATAGTCCGCGGTAACACAAAGAAATATTTTGGATATGGTCTCCATGTGGTAAACATTTGTCACAAGGTGCCTTAAAATCCTTCATGGGGTTTCGGAGATAAGGAGCGGAAATGGAACCCAAGTCTTTATCCTTTGACCTGTAGGTGTCACCTCGATCTTGAGCCGGCACACCTGGCATATAAGTTCTGCACATTATCTGGATGTGCTAAAGAATTCACCTAAGTTTTATAATTCTCAATTCTCAGGGGGTGGGGTTGAGTGGTGCATGGAATAATAACTGATCACCAATCAACAGCCCTTTCCAAGTAGACACTTATATAAAAGTGTAATCATAAAAACAATAATTATATAAAATAGATATAATATAAAAAAAATGGGCCGAAAAGGGTCGGCCGAAACCAGACTTGCCGGGCCGAAAATGACTGGGCCGATTCCAAAAATGGGCCGAAATGTGACAAAACCACTGCTAGTTATGGGCTGTTATGAGATTTGAAGGCTGTTTTGACTGGCTAAAATATGTATGAAAAACAAAAATAAAATATTTACGAAAAACAAAAAATAAAATATGAATGCAAAACTAAAAAAATATGTATGCAAAACTGAAAATTTGTATGCAAAACTAAAATAAAATATGTATACAAAACAAAAAACAAAAAAATGCAAATGTCACTTTAATGCCATCGTAATTTTGTTATATGAACACAATTTTTAGATATTTCAAGTGGTAAAATTAATGAAACTTTTATCACTTAAGCATCATTAAGTATTGACCGCCATCTTGAACTCCATCCAAATATTCCAATATCGCAGATAGAAAATAAGTCAGTACTCAGTATTTAAGCAGAACTCATATGACACCTTTAGACCTCTTGAACCCAAAGTGCGTTGATATGTAGCATATTGACGCACTTTGGGGTCAATTTCTCGATTTTGACCCCAAAGTGCGTTGGACCCCAAATTGCGGTGCGAAGTTTAACGCACTTTGGGGTTGGACGCCAAAGTGCGTTTGACCCCAAAGTGCGGTGTTACAATGGTGTCTTTCGATCACCGTAGCTCATTGCTTTGCAAATGAATGTTTAAAAAAAGAAGTAAATCATAAATCCTACGACTAAAATTTTCATGACTTAAGTCCAGGGTGCCGTTTTACAATTTATGAACGATCATACCCCCGGTCGTATCAAGTACGCTTACGTCATGTTTTATCAACATGGCTGAAGGAAAGACGTCGTTATTCAAGGACGACTTATAATATTAAATTTCTTATTTTTACAGTATATCAATTTAGGAGTTGGTTTTAATCACATTATATTCAGGCACTGTATTCTTGTCCCAACGCTGTACTTTTGACATACCGCAGTCATGTTGAAGCAACTAAACTCTTCCAGAAATACGTCGTTGTCAACAGTAGAAAATGTTCCGACTGCAGGAACATCTTGCCTACAACCTGAACTATTCACACGCATCTGTATCAATGTTCCCTCCATAAACCAGTCACCAGAAGAGTTAAGAAATACTGAAGTGAAAACAGCGAAACAATACTATTTTCATATTAATAAAAACCAGAAAAAATATAAGATGCCACGTAATCTGGGTTGAAAATCAATACAAATATTGAAAGAAATATTAAAATTGACACTATAGTCTGTCTTTTATTAACAATAATTAACATGAAAAATCACGGCTGCTGATTTACAAATTGTAGAAAAAGAAAACACTACGGTTAAAAGCTTAGTGCCATTGTAAGAGTACAGTTCTAAATTCGAAGGTATATCACGGGGAATATACAAGAAATATGTTTTCTATATTTGTAATACGTATTTCTATGCATAGAGTAGTATTTCAGAGCGTTTTTGATAAAGGTTATTTATAGATTTACCTTCGATGACGTCACCCGGCCGGTAAGTTGTGACATTCAATGTGAATGTAAAGGGAGAGGGAATGGTCTGTGGTTCAAACGGGTGTTTAGGTGTCATATTTCTACAGACTGATAGAGGCGGGCCTGATGCATACCCGTTGCAACACCCAAACATAGCCAGCGCTAGTACCAAGATTGTTCCATTCATCATTTGAGTTGAGTTGTTTCCCTTTAAATAAAAAACAATATTGCCAATGTGCAAATGTAAACCAAAGGAACAAAATGTGTGAATCAATATAAGAACTACCTTTCGCAGTATACAAAGGTTGTTTTAAAGTTTCCTTTAATAATACACTTCACTTTGATGGCTGATTTGTGCCATTCGTGTTTTCGCCCCGCGACCCCGCCACGCTTATCAGCATCGACAATACAGATTTTAACTACTAAAATTGCAAGGGTGCAGAACGAAAACACGCTAAATAGCGGGAGCGCGAAGAGAAAAGCCGAGATTTTAAGACTAATTTGGCGGGAGCGCGAACCACAACACGCTATCTAACGTCTTATAACTATAAATATTTGCTTCGCGGCCCGCCGTATTACAATTAAATCACGAATTTTGGCCCCGCGTGCCGCCAATTGGCGTGTTTTCTCTCCGCTTTCCCGTCATTTTAACCTCTTGATTCTTGAATTTTCGCTTGTCGGGGTCGCGGGGCGAAAAGACGAAATGGCACAAATCAGCCACCATACTTCACAATGTTTTTGATTTTTCATATTTGTTCTTCCCTGGTGAACCAGTTTGTCGAATAAAGAACGAACGCATGGTATGAGAGAACATTACTGACTTTTTACGATGCCAAACGTTTTTTTTATGGTTTTACTAAAGCTACGCCGTGCATACCCAGTTACGCAGGGAAATGAAACTAACGTAAAGGTAACGCCGAAACTGTGCAATGCTTTGGTCAAAAGCGAAATGCACGGTTAGTTATGTTTTATCTAAAACCAAATTAAAAAATATTCATGAGCGCATACTTATTTAGAGAAGGGTGAAAATGTTTTAAAAACTGTCAATTTAACGTTCTATTAAATTTTATATTACTTCTTATTTGCACTTATGTACATTGCTAGTTAATGACCTCTTTATTTTAACTCATAAAGCCAATGATAAATGACTGCATATTTGTACAACAATTAAGTACTCAAAACGTTGAATACATGTATTAGAGAGTGTTGGTTTGTATAGGACATATGTAAAACAACCACTAAAAAACTAAAAACAAAATAAAAATAATCATCATCATCATTTTTCCACACACAAAAAAAATCCATAATGAATTCAAATCACAAAAACAATTACAGTGAGTACATGTTAATAAATACAGAGCCATTATAAACATGTATTCTGAAAACACGTGGTTCAATTTACGTGATGGAGGTTGTGCACAGAAGAGTATTTCCCTCGGCCTATAACACGGTAGGGAATCACGTGACTTTTACGGTATCGCGTACTGACAATATGGCGGCCTAAACACCTGTCCTCGCTGTAATGTGTTTTTCAGGTAATTCTTTATTAAATCCCTTATACTTACATACGAGACCTGCTGCAGCCTACGCGGAATAAAGAATTGTTGTCGCCTATACCTTATTTTCCACCCCTGTGATTTTAGTTTTTTACAAACACTCAAAAATTCAACCGGAATTTTAAATGTCGACAATTATTTTATGGGTGACATTTACGCAAAGTTTGTATTTTTTAAGAAGTTGATGAAATAATGTCGATTTAGCAAAGATTTAAGGGTCAAAGAATTTCTTTATTTGAAAATGTGAATATTAGGCACGTTGAATGTCGACTGGTCATTTTCTTTTTCAGTACAAGGGAGGAAAATGATTTGGGTAACGGACGCGGGTTCTTGTTTTGTTGATGACTCCCACGCAATATTTTATAATTATATATCATTTATGCATCTCTCAGATCCCCTATGGAAATAAAACATTGATTGTTTTAATAATATAACAATTGTAGATAGATATTTGCTAAATAAAGACAAATTTAATAGCAAAAATGGTAACAGATATTTTCAAAAGTTTAATACAATAAAAACTACTAGAAGTATTTTTTATATTGCAAGATCAACCAATATACTTGAAAAAGTAAGACAAAAAGTCCCACATTGTGGTAAATTTAAGGGATATTTTGAACAATTATTCTGAAGACTTGTACATGTAATTTGTTACCTGAATGTTTTGATTATTTCTTAATAATTATCAATAGGAAAACATTTTTCGTAATGATGATATTATAGGAAATTTAAAGTTTCCTTATTTCTGAAAAAGAGCCCTTCTTATAGCAAAGTTTTAGTTCAGAAAAAATGTCCATAACTTATAATTCACACGATTTTTTTTTAATTTTGCGTACAGGTGACCTTTCGGGCATAAAACTGTCCTATGTTGTCACTTTAACAGTTTTGGAAAGATATTTTTCGACAGGTATGTACGTACCACTTTTTCGTTTTGATGTGATTTTTTTTTTTTTTTTTTTTGATGTTTTAAATTTTATGTATAATTGAGTGTTTTGCGCAAAAGCTATCGCATCTTTCCGATCCAGAGAACATATAGAATATGATTTTTGACAATTTAGAAATTTTGTTATGTAATTAAGATTAAATTTAAGCTTTAACATTGCTATGAGATAATCGATGTTACAAAATATTCGGCAACGCTAAATTTGCAAAAAAAAAAATAAATTAATATAAAAAAAACAACTATGGGCACTATGGGCAAGGAGATTGACATTAATTAAACTTTCAGCAAATGTGTAGCTGGATTGTTGTGTCATCAAAATAGTAAACCCGACATTCAAGCTTTGTCGTATGATCTGTTTTTTTTTTTTTTTTTTTTTTTTTTTATTCCAAATTCAAATTTTTTTTTGCTGCAGTCGTATATTAGTATACACTTTAATTTGTACTTATCATTTTTAACTAAAAAGAAACTTATAAACAAATAGTTGTTTTATATGTCAGATGCGGCCATGCGTATTATTTTTACAATTTCTCAGATGTATTCATTCTGACACGTAGATGTGCCACCGTTATAAGTGGATACACGCCCGTTTAACTCACAACGAGTGAAAAATGTCCATCGGTAAAAATCTTGTGAGCAACTTCCGTTCCTCGTTGTGAGCACCCATCTTTGACGTGTGACACGATAAACAAAGTGAGTTTTTCATAATTTTTTAAGATTACAGACATTTATGTAAAAATATCGAAATGCAGTTAGCTAGCGATGTGTTTTCCGAGTATGCACATGTAAAGATATTGCCTGTTGATGGACAAGTTGATAGAAATATCGTGCGACGCAGTCACTCGGGGTAGCTGGAAAACTGGAGACAACTTCTCTTAGGACCTAATTTAACATTGAAAACGTCGATTCTGGTGACGTTTTGTATTCTAACCTAAAACAGATGCCCACAAGTCTTCAGCGTAAATTATCATCTGAAAGTCTTCATAGAAACGAAGACATACACTTTTTTGCTTTAATCCTCGTTGTGAGCACCATAACCTCGTTGTGAGCAAGACAAGCGCAGTGCTTGTGTGGTTTTAATATGCAATTCAAATGGCAAGAATACAATTTTCAATCTACCAAAAGCAATCAAAACGTTTTTGTACAATAGTTTTTCTTTGCAATAGTTCTTTTTTTTTTCTTTTTTTGAAAATTATTCTTCATATTCACAAGTCATCAGATCAACAGAAGAACTAATCAGTGGAGGTAAATCAGGTATTTTAATTCGTATTTTAAAAATCTTACACCGGCTGCCGTTACAGACCGGAATATCTAGCTCGAGGGTAACTGTTTACAGCGGTAACGAGGCTCTGCCGAGTTTCCGCTAAACAGTTACCCGAGAGCTAGATATTCCTGTCTGTACCAACAGCCGGTGTTTGATTCTTTTTCTTGCATATTACATGTCAATTTTTTTCGGAACAGAAATTATGAAAACTGATATTCTCATTACGCACTTTTTTATTATAGTAGCGTATGAACATACAACTTCATTCATAACGGAAAAATGACGTCATCCTAAGAACGCGATTCATTCATAAAAGTCGCGTGTCAGTGACGTCATTTAAAGCACACGACTTGTCTTACATGGGGGGTGTAAGACAGAGTTTTTCTAGCAACGGTAGATAATCCTGTCTGAGATGCAAGAAACTCTAGTATGACATGAGTGAACATCACGGGGAGTTGATGAATATTTCAACAATTTCACAATCTGTTTGATACACACATACATGTGTTTATCCTGAGCTGAAGACTGACCAAGTTATGTAAAACAGGAACTATCACGGTGAGTTGACAATGCCCCCGAAGTGGTGCTTTGTCCTTTGATTCATGGACCAGATAGATTATTTGTTTTTGGACAATAAGATCTTCAATGTGAAGGTAATTCAATGTCAAGGTGAAATAAATATAGGTCAGTTGGAAGGTCTTTTCCAAAGGGGCATTGTGTCCAAATATAATTTATTCCACTTATTTATAAAGCGGTTATGACCAATGCTAAAGTTTTTGGATGTTCTAGAAGGTCATTCACGGTACAAAGTAAAATGATACAGATCAGTTTGAATGTCTTGCCTAAAGGGGTGTTGTTTCAAAATATGAGTAGAATCCGTATACTAATAAGGAAGTTATGACCAATTTTTAAGTTTTTAGACAATTTGACCTTCAAGGTGAAGGTCATTCAAGGGTCAAGGTCAAAAGAATATAGAATAGTTGAAAGGCCTTGTCAAAAGATGTGTTGTGCCTAAATATTATGCCAGGACATTATGGCCAATCTATAATGTTTTTGGACAATTTGACCTTAAAGGTAAAGGCCATTCAGGGGTCAAGGTAAAAGGTAAAAAATACAGGTCCGTAGGAAGGTGCTAAGGGATGTTGTGTTCAAAAATGAATCAAATCCGTTTACTAATAAGGAAGTTATGGCCAATTGTAAATGTTTTCGGCTAGATTGACGGACTGAAAGACGGACAGTTCAAAACTAATATGCCTCCCTTTGGGTATGCACAACGTCTTGCAAAGAAATGCTGCTGTGCAAAAACGTTTTAATTGCTGTGGTAGATTGAAAATTATATTTTCGCCATCTGAATTACATATTAAAACCTTACATGCACTGCGCTTGTCTTGCTCACAACATTTTTACCGATGGACATTTTTCACTCGTTGTGAGTTAAACGGGCGTGGGATATATGGATTTAAATATAGAAATTGTAAAAACGTTTAATTACCTAGGTATTGTTTTGTCTAGCGGAAGTTCTTTCATACCAGCGACCAATACACTAAAAGGCAAAGCACTACGGGCTATGAGCTCATTATTTAATATAACAAGAGATAAACAAGTTCCCATTGATATTATGTTCAACCTGTTTGATGCATATGTTCTACCAATTCTAAATTATAGTTGTGAGGTATGGGGTAGCATACCATCGGACAATTTGGAAATTGTACATAGGAAGTTCTGTGAATGGTTGCTTAATGTGAAAATGTCAACAAATACTATTTCATTGTTTGCAGAAGTAGGCTGATTTCCATTATATATTTCACGTCATGTAAGAATTGTTAAATATTTTATAAAAATATATCAAAATAAAACAAGCAATTGTATAATAAATTATATTGTTAATTGTCAGAGATTGGAGATAGAGTCAAAGTCTAATACTGTAAATTGGTTGTCTAAAGTCAAAGCACTTTTGCAAAGTTTTAATGATGTTTGGATGTATCCAGAATCAGTTAAGATTCATATATTTATACCAGTCCTACATGGTCGTTAAAAAGATATTTATATCACAAATTGGCATTCTAGTGTACATATTTGTTCTTCTTTGTATTTGTATAAACATATCAAAACCGATTTTAGCAGGTCTAAATACCTGGATATTGTTGACTCTATGAAATTAAGAAATATATTAGCTAAACTTAGATTATCATCTCACAATTTATTCATAAAAACAGGTAGACACAATAATATTGATAGAAATGACCGGAAATGTACTATTTGCAACAATAATGACATCGAAGATGAATATCACTTTGTATTGATTTGTACTTTGTATGATTCTCTTAGGAAACAATATATATCCAACTATTTTACAAGAAACCCTAGCATGTTTAAATTCTTAGAATTGCTGAATTCAGAATGAAAGTATGTGTTAACAAAATTAGCTATATATTGTAACAAAGCTTTTAAAATAAGATATGATTCATTGAATGCCGGATAATGCTATATAAGACCACCTTGTTGTATTGTTTAAAGTTATATAATGATTGTATATATTACATGTGTTGTATTACACTCTCACTAGTTTATTTCATTTAATGATATGCATTTACCATTTTTCATATTCATGCATGTACGAGAAATTTAGTACTATATTAAGCCTCCCTAAGGTCGAGCCGGCACAAAATTCAACAGAACATTCAGCTCTTACTTTACTGAATATCGAAACGGCACGAAACAAATGTATAAGTCATAAAATTCATTTATACAATTCATATTCTTTGTATTCATTAAGTCGGATAAAAACAAAATGTAGAAGTACTTAACACAGTTGGATTTCAAGAATAATATAAACTATGAAGTTCATTTTCATTCTTGGTATCATTAACTACTTATCTAAAGGGTATAAAGCTATATCTTATGAACTATTTCTATAATATCTATTAACATCATATTGTTTTCATAATCTTATGGGGACTCTCAAAAGAGTTGTAACATTGAATGCCTCTGTTATTTGATAACAAGAACATTGTACGTAAACAAAGTAAATCGTTCCGAAACAAAATATTATGCTTCTGTTTAAAGAAGGGTTTTGTCCGTTTATCAAAAAAGTGTTATTGTATTTACTACAATATTTACATTGTATCTTAAACAAGCATATTAGAAGTATTCCTTTAAAAAAAAAAGAGAAAAAAAAAACAAACAATATTATTCCTACAGATATATATATACCACTATACACTTAAATTCGTACATCATCATTTTTTTAACTAAATGAGAAACTTAGAATTAAAATAAGTGTTTTATCTGTATACCATGCCTATCATTTTTACAATTTCTCAAATATTTTGAACATTGTTATTGATATTGAATCTTAATTTCAATATCAAAATACAAAAAAATATGCAACTATATTATAGCAATGAATAAGCCTGATCAGAATGCCCGGATGTTAACGCCCTCTTAATTATTTCGATTCAAGCGGGCCAAGGCTGAATAATTTATATTACAAAATATATAAAATCGTTGTTTCGGTGAAGTTTTTGTATATACGATTACAAATCTGTCTGAATTTATACGGAGTTCATTATTGAATTCGGAAAAAACCACGTGTTAACGCATCTTTAACGTATATTTGAAACACATTAATATTCGAAAATATGTGTCTAAGATATATTTATGTTTAAATTATTTCACTGCTCAAAAAAGGATAGTTTGATATTACTTTTTTTCATTTTGAAAAAAAAAAAAAAAAAATATGAGATAAAAAGTTGTAATTCTGCTGAAATTTTACTAAATCTTGATTTAAAAAACAAATCCATTTTTAGGAAAAACTTCAGGGGCGTTACAATGTAAAATACTGTAATGTGAGTAAATCTCTTTAATATATTTGATAAATCTGTTGATAAATCTACAAAACATACTTTTCCATTTAATTTAATTTAATATTAGGAATAAAATTGAGGCGGCTACTTAAAACTTTAGCAATTCTAAAATAATTTTGGCATTTTTGTTAATTAAACAACGCGATGCAGTGACGCAGGAAGTGTTTAGTTTCATACTTACGTTTCTTTGAAATATTTTTTTAAGCTGTTCTTGTTCGTATAAAACCCTTTCGGTCATATTTCACAATTGCTTTTGATAAGAAGTCATAAAAAATTTAAACAAATTATATTGTACATTTTTAAAATTCTTTTTACTGTTCTGATGCACCTGTAACATATTTTCTGTCATGAGAAAAATATAACGAATAATAGTTTAAAGCTTCAGTTGTGGAAAAATATTAAGATACGAATAAGAAAAAAAAAGAGTGATCTCGAATTTCGGTCAGAATGTCAGCCACTTTCAGGGCATTTTCAGTCATAATTGATAGCCTACAACTGTAGCATTTTCACTTTAACCGAGCTAGTTTGGATGTCTGAAAAGACGCAATGAGTTGATATTTTGCATGATTCATCAATCAAATTTGTTAAACTGTTAATATCTGATTGTGGCAAAATATTAATATATATACATGTAGTATATTACCTGTAATACTGAAAACCGCAGGGAAACATGCTTGTAGCTATAGTTGAAAGGCCGACACAAAATATAAACATTCTGATTAATTAAATATTTCTAGTAGAATGAACTTCTAAGTGTGTTAGATCCATCTAATTTAAAAGCTGATGTCGTAGCTCAAATCCACGACATCTGGGCTGCTTAATGAAAAACCGAAAAACAAATGTGTTTTATCACCAAGAGGCTCTTTGGCATAATAATAATACCGACTAAGATGACTTCATTTTCAACCAATTATTATTTACATCACAGCAAATCATTTACTGTCTGATAGATAACTAGTGCCAATATCCCTTACATAACGTTTATGTATACATAATACCAAATGTTTAACATTAATTAAGATATTGCTTTAACATTTAACTTTTATAGTGTTATGACATTTAACGATAAGGGAAAATGGTGCGACATTTAACGTCATCATTGCGATATACAACGCAAAAGTATGTTGATACATTTAGCGGCGGTTGCGACATTTAGTGGAAATAGCACGACATTAAGCGGTAGGTGCGACATTAAGCGACGTTGCGACATACAACAGCGCCACAATGGAAGTTGTTGGCAAATGTGAGATACATAATGCGTTATTACATATATTTATATAGCAGATAATAAAATGTTCTAGAACAAAATATCATTATTCATCATATACAAGTAAATGTTTATTCTAAATAACTTAGAACTTTATCATTAGCATTGTTTTGTCAAGCAACAGTTCAAAGAATATCCAAATGATACATTTCTATTCTTTTATAGATATTTTAAATACTAAGGAAAAATTGACCTATCGTTGACATATACAATAAAAAAAAATATTTTAAGAAAAGAAAGAAGTAAAACTTATAACTCAAATGTTTACCTTACAGCGAGTTAAATTCACAGATGTAAAGAACATTGAATACAAATATCAACAAACATTGATATTATCTTCGAATAAACCATGATTTACAAACAATTAAAAAAATGCAAAATTAACGGTAAAATTAGTTTATTCAAAATCATTAGAAAATGTCCACCGATAAATTTATAACGATCTTCTGAATCAATATCATTTCATAATAATAAAAAATCTGAAAAAAAAAAAATTAAAAAAAGTACTTACAAAATACCAGTAAATATTCTGAAATCCACCTTGTTGAAGGGTTGCACCGTGTACTTTAATTATAAAACTTGATGTACACCTTACATAAAATTCATATCTTTAATGAGTTTATGCAGTGACCCGCATCTTTTTTTTAAATACGCATAGTTTTGATGATTTTATCACTTTTCCTTAATATGTACAGTATTTGCAATCGGTATGTCAGCCATCACATGCTAACTATGGCAATAATAAAACGTTTTATTTAAACAATTAACAAAAAAGAAAACAAAAAAATTAATAATTGCTGAAAGAAATGGGAAAATATATGAATGGAAAAAAGGTAATTACGAGAAAGAATGAAAAAACAACAACAACAACAAAAAACAACAACAAAACACAGAAACAACAAAAAAACAGAAACAATATATTCTGAATAAAAGAAATATAATTATATGTAATGCAAGAACCTCGGTGACTTACATAGAACAAATATATTTTATTATAAAAATATGTGTTTCAATAATTTATGCCTAGGGTGACTGGTGTTCTTGAAAAAAAAAACAATTATTTAACGCTTCACTTTGACCTTGACCTATTGACCTCAAAATTTATTTGAGACCAAAGCGTTAACCAATCGGATATGCTTTAAGTATGCATTACCTCGATGACCTATATTTTTGACCTTCTGAACTCGAATTGGATTGATATTGTTATGGATAGACATGTAAACATTTTAACAGTGTGATGAGATATTACCTTTCCTTTACTTGAAATCTGCTCTGTCATTTCCGTGATTTGTGTGGTTGTTTATCAACTATATATCTAACAGTAAACAGTATAAGTATTCAATGATTCGAGTTAAAGAAACATTGAAATATCGTTCAGAACTTTGTGAACATGATCCGGGTCGCGAAATAACCTGACAATTGAGCGTAGATACTCAACTGACCAAAGAA